TCCATCACTCGCCCGGCTGCTGGGGGGATTTGATGAAGCGCACATTGCCTCTCAAAATCGGCTAAAAATTTGTCGATCCCCATCTCGTTTTCCACGAATGGCTTGAATGCTGCGAACGGGATTTTCTGTTGCTCTGCAATTTCCATGGAGCTGTGGTGTGCAGTAGCGGTAGGACCCTGCTGGGCTGTCAGTACGCTGAGCTCGTGGGCTCTGGCTCTTTTATATCCGCCTCTGCCTCCGCCATCAATTGTTGCACCAGTTCCACGGACGGGTTCGGTCCATACAGAGGAAGTCTTTCCCTGACCATCCTTTTCTTCTCGTCGATGGACATTACTGTAGATTCTGTCATGGTGAAGCTCTGATCTAGCTTGGTTAGTGTTACGATTGCCCCCGGTCTAGCAGGGGGGTTGATCGCTTGGATGTCCTGGTTCCCGCTGTAGAGAGAGGAACGGAGGTCTTTCGGTAGTAAGCTGCAAGTGTAGAATATCCCCAAGCACGGTATAAGCATCAATATCCCAGATCCCTACAACATGAGTCGAGGCTGCAAGTTGAGGGTCAAAACTAACTGGCTTTAATGGCACATAGCATGGCAATTTATGTGATTCCTCAGGTCCAAGGACAGCCCCCTGTGAACCTGATGGAATACAGGTACAGTACAGACAAGTATCCAATCACAATACAGTGTATCATTTGAATTAGTACCCGCCCAGCTTGGAGATAATGAGGCCAACGGTTATACAATCTAATTATCTCCAAGCGCACAAAAGACCACGTTTTATTATGTCCCAGAAAACTGCATAAAAATCCATAACTTTAACATTAATAAAGGAAAACAGCTCATTCTACCATTCATTTAATAGCTCGTGCTTGGATACATTAAATATACGAATGGCGCTCCAATCCCACGAACAGAATGGGCTATTTCTGCTGTATAAAGTCCGTTCGGCATTTTGGATTGTGAGTCTCTGATGGCGGCCATGTTTTCAGACGGTTTAGCGTCAACTCATGGAACTAAACCCGGGTATCAGTTTATGCGAAGTCCCGCTGTCTGTCTGGTAGTGGAACTCGTTCGGTACATGAACGAGGACCACCTGGTAGCATGGTACTTGAGCTGTGGTTAACCGCAGAAACCACAGGCTAATGACCGCCACGCGACCCACTGTAGGGGGTCTCTGTTCGGTTGGTTGTTCGGTAGATTCCCTTCGGTACTTTGGGTGCGAACGTCGATCCCCCCAGGCCCATCAATTAGTCTGTGGTTAACCGCAGCCGCTTGGGTGGTTAATGGCTGCCACACTCCGCTGGTCGGGTGGTCGACCGTTCGGTACTTTGCGGGGTGACGAGGTTAAGTGGCGGCACACGCCAGCATTTGGGGGGGTCCCTCGTTCGTATCACGAATGGAGTCTTTATAAGGGTTTGTGTAATCCATTCGCGTTTTCCTCGGCTTAAACGTATATAGTGGCAACAGTAGCAATCGGTATTAACAGTAACACAGTCATTTCGAGTCTTTTGTAACAGTTAGGTCAGCAATCAATTCTCTCTTTGGCCGGTTGCTCGCGTTCCAACCTTGGCTTTCAAGTAAATCCTTTAACGTGGTGCGCTTCCATTTATTGTAGTTGCTCTCCATCCGTTCTATACTTCTCTTAGGAAATCCAGGATAATCCTGCCGCTGCCACCAATTGTTATGATTACCTCCGGGCTAGCAGGAGGTTGGATCGCTTGGATGTCATGGGTCCCGAAGTCAGAGAGTCGAACGGTGCTTCAATCGGTAGAAACCTGTAGGTGTAGAATATCCCACTAGCTATAGTAACGCTAGTATTCCCAGATCCCTACAACACAAGTCGAGGCAGCGAGTTGAGGGTCAAAACAAACTAGCTTTACTGGCACACAAGCATGGCAATTTATGCAAGTCTCCAGGTCCAGGGACATCCCCCCATGGACGTGATGTGATACATGTACATTACAAGTATTCAACCAATCACAATGCAATGTATCATTCAAACTAGTACCCGCCCAGCTTGGAGATAATGAGGCCAACGGTTTATACAATCTAATTATCTCCAAGCGCCCAAAAGACCATGCTTTATTATGTCCTAGAAAACAGCATGAAAATACATAACTTTAATACATTAAGGGGAATATAGTTCATTCGACTATTCGTGCAGCAGCTCAGATCTGGGCGCATCAAATATACAAATGGCACTCAGATCCCACGAACAGAACGGGGGGTTTCCGCCATAGAAAGTCTTATTCAGCACTTTGGTGTATCATCCCTGACGGTGGCCATGTTTTGAGGTCGGTCAATGGACAGCGGGATCTTGACCTGATACTCATGGAGCAGAGGTCGGCTACATCAGTGCACGAATCCCCGCTCTCAGCCTGGTTATCCTGCGGTTAACTGCAAGAGCCGCGTTCTAATTGCTGCCACACGCCGGAATGCAGGTGGTCCTCGTTTGTGAGGATTTCGGCACCTTCCCTTGGGGGAATTAGAGGCTAACGTGTGTCCTCTGGGACCATCCATTAGTTGGTGGTTAACCGCAGACCGCAGCCCCTTGTGTGGTTAATGAGCGGCACACTCCGCCCGTAGGGTGGTCGGTCTTCGGTATTTTTAGAGGTGGCGGGGTTAAGTGGCGCACACGCCAAGGACTAGGTGGTCCCTCGTTCGTACAGACGAATAGACCTTTATAATAGTTTGTGCAATGCGTTCGTATGGTCGGAATGCTGCATAATAGGGGTTTTTAATCGAAAGAGGGTTATGTTGTAACAGTATATAGAGTCTTTGTAACAACAAGTTATCCATGATTCCCACCCTCACGAGTCCTTTCCCCGCACCCCAGTCCAAATGTACTTTGGTCGTTGGTAGCTTGTAGATGTCACCTCCAGCCACCTTGACAGCTACGGTGTCTGTAGAACGCTTATATTCTGGAACCAGGCGGCCTTGCACCAGAGAGATAATGGCCCCGGTGTCTCTTAACCCCCGAGTGGAGCGGTCATCCAGCAATACCTCCTGTCTGTGGTGCTGCCGGTTGTCGTTCACTGAATAGACAGGGTCGGCTTCATGGAGGGGTCCCAGATACTTTTCCAGTGGGCTTTCCTTCTCAACACAGAAAGCGCAAGCTGGTTGGGTATTTCCCAGGGGGATGAATTATAATTCCGTGAGGGGTAGTTGTTGTTGAGGGGGCAGTTGGCTATGAGGTGCCCCGGCTGTTTGCATTTGAAGCAGGTGGGACGGGAGCGTTCTTGTGTGTAGTGGCTAGGTGGTCCGGTGTATCGGGTAGGTCCCGCTGGTACAGGCGTACGAAACTCCGTTCATGGACTAATTCGGTGATTGTCTCTTGGTTCGGTATGTGTCGCCGTAGTTCCAAAACTTCGACTGCAGTGACTGCTCGACATCCGTTAATCCAATGGGTAGCAAACCTCTGCATTCGGTGCGCCAATTCGGCATGTGTGTCATTCGGCTTCTTTTTGGTGTTGCGGAACTGCCTGCGATAGTGTTATGGGCAAATGCAAATATTACAGGTTTTAGAATGAAATGTTGTATTTCTTAAACTGTGTACCTTGTCTTTAAGAGATATTGCAAACTGACAAGGTGTTAGAAATGGAACATAGCATTTAAGCAATAACCTCAGTGCATAATATGTTTGCACCATTTTGTCCCAGACGAATTACAATAACAATAATGCATAAACGAGCTTCAAGGCTATGCTACGACTTTTTCAGTACACAATATACTGTGGTAACATAGAAACATAGAAACATAGAATGTGACGGCAGACAAGAACCATTCGGCCCATCTAGTCTGCCCAATTTTCTAAATACTGTCATTAGTCCCTAGTCTTATCTTATAGTTAGGATAGCCTTATGCCTATCCCACGCATGCTTAAACTCCTTTACTGTGTTAACCTCTACCACTTCAGCTGGAAGGCTATTCCATGCATCCACTACCCTCTCAGTAAAGTAATATTTCCTGATATTATTTTTAAACCTATGTCCCTCTAATTTAAGACTATATCCTCTTGTTGTGGTAGTTTTTCTTCTTTTAAATATAGTCTCCTCCTTTACTGTGTTGATTCCCTTTATATATTTAAATGCTTCTATCATATCCCCCCTGTCTCGTCTTTCCTCCAAGCTATACATGTTAAGATCCTTTAACCTTTCCTGGTAAGTTTTATCCCGCAATCCATGAACCAGTTTAGTAGCCCTAGTAACCTTAAGTAGATAAGGATGTCCAGATTTTAAGATGCCATCTTGAACTAAGTCAGGAAAATTTCCATGATGTATGCACCCTTTAGCTATGGCCTTGTATGTTTGCCAATTTAAGGGAGGTCCTGAGATGAATAAAGTAAAAGAAGTGTTACTTTTTCATGTATGAACTACGGTAACCCTAAAATGACGACACCTAAGGTATAAATAAGTGTACTTTTAAATGTTAAGACACAGAGGAGAGACTTGGAGACAGACATTGCTCCATCTTAAAATGACAGAGAGGCTGACATGATGACATGTTCAGAAGGGTATGTTAACCTATTAATGATATTTGCAAGCATTTAATTTAATCTTAGAAACTCTGCTATATGGATTTTTATATGTCTATATTTATATTTTTATAAAATAAATATCAAAAAGACAAAACTATTGCTTCCAAGACAATCCTTATTTTATATTGTATTCTCAATTATTTATATATGTTAAATAGAGGATCTCTTACTAACTATAGAAAATTATGGCTAAGAGATCTGTATGGTTACCCCTACTAAGTTCTATGCTGCTTTAAGACATTATAGTGGTAAATAAGGGAACCACCTGTGGTTACAATAGGTGTCGGGGGTCACCGAGTACCGTTTCATCAGGGTGTCTTTTACTAGCGGGTATTGAGCTACCTCTTCGGTGCTGAGAGTCCTAAAGGCCTCCATCGCTCGCCCGGCTGGTTTCCCCGCCAGGATATGAGGCCATGCTGCTGTGGGGATTTGATGAGCACATTGCCTCTCGAAGTGGGCTAAAAATTAGTCAATCCCCATCTTGTTTTCCACAACCGGCTTGAATGCTGTGAACGGGATCTTCTGTTGCTCCGCAAGTTCCGTGTTGTTGCTGGATGCAGTTATGGTAGGACCATGCTGGGCGGTCAGTACACTGAGCTCGTGAGGTCTAGCCCTTTGTGTATCCGCCTCTGCCTCTGCCTCTGCCTCTGCCATCAGTTGCTGCACTAGTTCCACAGACGGGTTTGGCCCATACAGGGGAAGCCTTTCCCTGACAATCCTTGTCTTCTTGTCGCTGGGCATTACTGTGGGTTCTGTCATGGTGAAGCTCTGGTCTAGTTCGGTTAGGTCAGCAATCAGTTCTCTCCGTGGCTGGTTGCTTGCATTCCCACCTCGACTTTCAAGTAACTCTTTTAAAGTGGTGCGCTTCAGCTTTTTGTAGTTGCTCTCCATCCGTTCTACACCTCTCCTAGGAAATCCAGGATGATCCCACCTCAACCACCAATTGTTACAATTGCCTCCGGTCTAGCAGGAGGTTGGATGGCTTACATGTCCTGGTTCCCGAAGTTGGAGGGTCGAACAGTGCTTCAATCGGTAGAGACCTGTAAGTGTAGAATATCCCACTAGCTATAGTAAAGCTGGGATTCGCGGTTCCCTACAACACGAGTCGAAGCAGCCCCCTCTGGACCTGATGGGATACAGGTACAATGTAAGGATTCAACCAATCATATTACACTGTATCATTCAAACTAGTACCCGCCCAGCTTGGAGATAACGAGCCCAACGGTTATACAATCTAATTATCTCCAAGCGCCCAAAAGACCATGCTTTATTTTGTCCTAGAAAACAGCATAAAAATACATAACTTTAATGTATTAATGGGAATATAGTTCATTCGACTATTCATTCGGTAGCTCAGATCCCACGAACAGAACAGAGGGTTTCTGCCATATAAAGTCTTATTCGGTACTTTTGTCACAAACTCCTGATGGCGGCCATGTTTTAAGGCTGGTCAATGGACAGCGGGACCTCGACCTAGAAATCATGAAGCGGGTGTTGGCTACATATTTACACGAATCCCCGCTCTCAGTATGGTTGTCCTGGCCGTTTGGGAAACGAACGGAGATCGCCTGGAAGGGGGTACTTAACCTGTGGTTAACCGCAAGATCAACGTTCTAATTGAGGCCACACGCCAGAATTTAGGTGGTCCTCATTCGTGAGTCTTTCTGTAGTTTTCCCCTTCTGGGAAATGATTCCGAATGTGGATGCCCTGCGACCGTCAATTAGTTTGTGGTTAACCGCAGACCGCAACTCCTTTGGTGGTTAATTGGAGGTACACTCTGCTTGTAGGGTGGTCAACTATTCGGTAATTTCAGAGGTGACCGGGGTTAAGTGGCGGCACACACCAAGGGCTGGGTGGTCCGTCGTTCGTATATACGAATGTGTAGTTATAACGGTTCGTGGAGTGAGTTTGTACAGTCTGAATCCCGAACATAGTATGGGTTTTAACAAAAGGGGGTTACTTTATAATCGTTTGGAGGGTTCTTGTAACAGCAGGAAACAAATCAATATCTGCCTGTTAGAAAGAGGCAGAGCCTAGTAGAGAAATAACAGTCTGTTATTAAAACACTGCAACAATGACTATACATTGCAAAAATCAGACTCACAACCATACCTCACACTGTGAATGAATTGATACAGTAATGATCAGTCACAGGGGAGGTATAAACCAATAACATTACTAGGAAAAGGCAAGAAGAGTCATATAGAGATTGTAGCGGGACCTGGGTAACCTGGCTGGTTATCCCGTTTGGTTAGAGTAGGTCAGACCAATTTCCCCAGTAACAGGACGGGACACAGTTCCAGGATACAACGTTTGACAATGTTTATTTGGGCACACAGCTTTTTATGCACAGACCCCTGAAGGGTGTCTCCACCCAGCACAACACAAAACACATACAGGAGGGGGCTGAGAGCTGATAACCATCTCCCGCTCTGGGAGATACTAACAAGACACAGGAACATGCATGAGTACACTTCACATTGATGGTTGATGGAGGTACCTGGTCGGGGGTGAAGTTTGGGGCTCAGGGAATGGAGGAATATCCCCGGGTCCCATCTGGGACCCCTGCAAGAAGTGGGGCGATGGGATGCACAAAGCCGGAGATAGCAGTGCCGAAAGTACACAGTATGCAATAGTTACCCAGTACAACAGTGCATTTGTTTTTGGTAGAATTGGGCTGTATTACACAAAGTGTATTCATGCGTGTCCCTGTGTCCTGTTAGTATCTCCCAGAGCCGGAGATGGTTATCTGTTCCCCAGCCCCCTACTGTATGTGTTTTGTGTTGTGCTGGATGGAGACCCAATGTGGGGTTCTGTGCACAAAAAAAATGGCTAAGTCACTGGAGGAGATCACCCAACTCTTCATGCTGGAACATTTTTATAACGGACTTCCTAATGAAGTAAGAGAATGGGTGAGAGACCGACAGCCCAAGACCCTCACAGAGGTGGCTCAGCGGGCCAATGAATATCTTGACACCAGCACCCAGTAGCCCCAGTGTCCTATCGACCACCCATCATGCCGTTGGTGCGGCCCAACCCCGCTGCCATAACTCCCCTCCGAGCACCCTCCTCGCCAGTGTACCACCATTGACCTATGCAAGGGATACTGGCAGATCCCGTTATCAGCAGATGCTGTCCCCAAGTCTGCCTTTGTCATTTTGGTCCCTTTGGCCTGTACCAGTTTACGGTAATGCCATTTGGGATGCAGAATGGCCCAGCCACCTTCCAACGCATGGTGGACCGGCTTTCAGATGGCTTCCAGGAGTATTCTTGCGCATACCTGGACTACATCGCCATTGTAACAGATCACCTGGCACTCTGATGGATGCTCCTAGTGCTTCCCGAGGGCTCCAAGTGCTCCACTTGACACCATAAGCACTGTAGACCCCACGAACCGCCGCAGCTTGGTTGGGGTCTCGCCATCTCCTACCCCCTGGACCTACAAGAAGGCTCCAGGCTTCAGTGGGTGAACCTCTCTTCCTTCAGAACAAGCTCTTAAAAGAGCTCAGTGATTATAGCCAGGGGAGTATACAGCGTATAGCAATCCCCAGTGTAGATGCAGCCTTTCCCCCCACACATGAGATAAGGCTCTACGTTGAGGGTAAAACAGGAACTCTCCAGTGTGAGGGTTTATTGTCTCATATATACAGGTTTTCCCACAAGGTTACCACCCACGTGGACCTTGTGGAACACAGGATACAAAGTTACAAAACTAATCAGGACAGACTGAGCTGAAGCTCAACAGGGGCCCTAAATACTAATAATGTCCTCCCTCTGGCCCCCACCCCTGAGCGGTAGGTGGGGGCCCTAAATAAAAATGTTACCCCACCAAACCCCTAATCCCATCTCTGAAGTTGTGCTGGCTTCCCACGGCTAGGAAGCTATCCCACTCCTTGCCGCCAATGTGACGGACCGCCTGGCACCCCGACCGGGTACCTCTATCAATCACTGCTTCCTAATACTGACGAGTACCTTAAGCACTGCGCTGGAACACCAGAACCACTTCAAACTGCACTAACCGCCGCAGCTTGGTCTCCTACTTGGTCGCCGTCTCCTACCCACCCTGGACCTACGACCAGGATCCAGGACCAGTTGTCTCCACTCTCTGTACACTGTCACTGTAGAGACAATCGGTGCACGAACGGTCCCGTTCGACTATTTGAAGTACACTTTAAACATTGGAAATAGACCGGCCGCATAGCCTAACACTCTGGAACTATTTTGGGAATGAAGCCATGCTTGTGGCTGGTCAAAAAGAGACTTCCATTAAACTTTTGAACCCCCTGCTCTGATCTGGGTGATTTTTGGATATGCTGTTCATCCAGATCAGGGCTATCCGGGGATGTAACATTTGTGGGGATATGTTATGCTTTGGGGTACTTTCTGAACTTTGTGAAAATTATTTTTTTTTGCCTGGAGTTACTTACAGGACTTTACTCAATTATCTCCCAAGCAGAGGGAAGGGATTATGTGCTGTACATGGGAGTGTCACAGACTGTATGTTTGTTCTGATTGGTTTGTGTCCGTTTGTGTTCCTGTGCCCCATCAGGTCCAGGGGTGTTCCTCTGGCCTGAAGAATTGTATAAAAGCCAACCTGAACCATTAAAGCTTAGATCATATTGCACCTTCATGACAGTTCGGCTCATTTTGGGGGGATTGGAGAACTACACTCTAGGGCATTGCTATAATCACTAAGCTCTTGTAAGAGCTTGTAGCGGAGTAGTAGTATTATGCACGGTATCTCCGCTGGTAGACAGAATCAAACAGGTACAAAGTAGGCAAAATCCAGGTAGCATAGTTACAATCCCTTTCTCCCAAGAACTAGACGACACATAGGTTGGAGGTCAACTGAGGTTTTAAATTACAGGCACAATATTTATTTGGTTACAATTTTATGGGGTTTCCCAAGTCAAGATGCAGGGTTTGTCCTTTAGGGGACTACATGGGGGACTGAGTTTTACAGCCAGAGTACCCAGCATACATTGCTGTACCAAGGAGATAATTATCCCAGAATGCATTGCTAATGGGATTATCCCTTGGTACAGAGAAATACAGTTTTTATATTAAAATGCATAACCAACATAACATTTGGGCTAGACAGCTATTTAACCATTTATTATATAGCTGGGACCTGGGCGCACAGTTAAGGGAACTTGCGCTAAGATCCCAGCACAAATAACCGAACACGGTTCAGTTTCCCTTCTCAGGACCAATTCGTTTATCCGATTGCCTGAACTGAGGGAATGAAAGTCCTGAAAACGGCAAACTCCTGAACTGCTCTACCCACTGGAAGCTGGATCCTGGTCGTAGGTCTGTGTAGTTTGTCATAGTTATTGTGTTCCAGCGCAGTGTTTATGGTACTCGTTAGTACTAGGAAGCTGTGATTGATGGAGGTACCCAGTCGGGTCGCCAGACGGTCGTCACAATTGGGTTCCTCATGCAGAAACTCCCTGATAAGGTGCATGAGTGGGCTAACCCCATAAGGGACGCTAGTGGTCCTCTGGTTCATGATTTCCAAGGTTCCCTTAAAGCTTTTTGCAATTTCGATCATAATTTTAGAATTGACACCTCCTAACCTTAATTTCATCCTTTTTCTTACAATGGGACTTTGTAAGATTTTGTTAGTTATTTTTTTTAGAAAGTAAAATGAATTACTTGTGTTATCTGCCATTGGTGTCTGGTTTTCTTGTGTGAAGCTGTGTTTAAGATAATTTATACTCCACTAACATTTTAAATAATATGATATTTTTTCATTGACATTTATCCATGAATAGTCTATATTATTATCATAATACTAGTTATATATGATAATATAATAATAGTAATTTTTAAGTGGATAGTGTGTGTGTATATGTATACATAATTATGTATACATTTGTCTCTCAGTTAA